CTGCTGCTCAGCTGTGGTGATGCCAATAGGAAAAAGGGAGTTCAAAGGCAATTGCACATTTCCTGAGTAAATTCAGGAATGCTGCCACTTTTATGCCACAAGCTTCAGAAGAGGAATCCATGAAGCAACATATGAGCGCGTGAGGAACTCAAAGCCTCAATGGGAAAAAGATACGCTCAGTATGTATGAGTACTGTCCTCCAAGACTGATGGTAAGATTTAAGGGTTTTTAACATTGCTGAGACCATTTTAATCGTCTTCTGTCCTCTTCCTAAAACTGTCAGAACCTTTTGACTATGCTATTTTTAGCCTCTGAGTGAAACCTGAAACTTGTAACCGACCTGAGCTCAAGTTTTCCTGTGGCAGATGTAAGAAATAAGGATAAGGAGGATAATCACCTTTATTGGCCAAGTATGTTACACACAAGGAATTTGTTTCTGGTACAGAACTGATGGCAGCCATCTGTGGCACCAACTCAACCGATGGCTCTAGTGCATTATTTAGGGTGTGTAGCCTATCCTACAACAAGTGAGCAGTATCATGGTGATGTGCGCCCTGACATATTCATTCAATTCTATTTTACTTGTATAGCACCAAATCACAACAAAACTCATCTCAGGACACTTTACAAATGTTAGGTTAAAGCATAAAGACCAACTGATAGCAATAACCGGTAATCATGTTTACCATTATCATTTGATCAAGAAACACACACAAAAAAAACTATTATAATGGAAATTTTCACATTAAACTTATGTTCAACCAACACAATGCAAGTCAAGAAAAAACAGAAAATTCTCACCTGAAAACCAGAAACATTTTTTGTTAAGAAATTCTGAAAGAATTAATCTATGACCAAAATTATTTTTCAACTAACCAGTGCAGCTCCAGGGCAGTTAAACAGTAACAACTATCGACTTTAATCACTAAATACTACCAAGTTGTAAGGAGGCTTTGAATGGGGAGGCCGTGCAGCAGCTCCTGAAAACTCCTCTTCCTCGTGTAGTGAACACACACAGGACACGGTAACCTGTAGTTCACTGAGGCAAAGACGCCCTAAAATCTCATTTATATTAATTATTATTATTTAATATGCCTACCACGCGTGGCGGCTACAGGGCTAGCAACAGAATCACCTATATAGCCAAACGTAACACATATAAGCCAGGTAGAACCCGGTGAGTTCGGTTCTGAACCAGACCAAAACTTTTACCTGACTAACGTGTTTCAGCACCTGGGCAGCTTGGTAGCAGCCTTCCACCTTCGGGTGCTGGTAGATTAAACTCGGCAGAACGTCGTCCTCCAGCAAAGCCATGGTCTCCGACTGGACCATCTGACACCGCCGGAAAACACGCCGAAAATTCAATGCAATATTACTGAGGAGTTATTTACCGTTTCGCATCACTATTCAGCGCGCGCCCACGTGCGCCACCGACGCCGCCCTCGAAATGCACCCTGGGGAGTGGAGTTTTTTTTTTTTGTTTGTTTTTTGTTTTTGTCTTGTTTCCTTTTGTTTTCCTTTGCAAAAAGCAGTTGAGCACATGTTACTGAATAATTAAGTAACTGTGCGTCTAAAAAGAATTTGATAGCATCAGTCTGGAGTCACTTAATAAACTTCAGAAAACATTTAATGGACATTTTTAGTTTAATAAATCACAGTGGCCATAAAACTCCGGTTCAAACCAATTGACCTGCACCTCTATATGACAGTCAATTTTGGAACAGAAAGCTGAGGAATGGAAAAATAAATAAGGTCAGAGAAAAGTCAAAATTATGACATAGTAAGACAAACTACTGTTTTTTTTAAGTCACAGTATGAGATTTCCAGTCCTAATTATCTTGACTTATCTAAACAAAACAATGATATATGGAGCCTTCTTCAGTCCAAATCTTGATTTACTGTCTCCAAATTGCGACTCACTAGCTAAAGGTTTTGACCTAGAATTTTCACTTCATGTTTATACTTAATGTTTGCTTAATAATTTTGACTCAGGATTTTTTATTTTACATTTTAGAATCTTGTTAACCTGTCATCCTTAGTCTTACCCAGTGGTGAAAGAATTGCTACTTGTAAAAGTAGCAATAGCACAGTGTAAAAATACTTTGCTTTTTATAGTGTTACAAGCAAAAGTCCTGCATTCAAAGTTTTACTAAAGAAAAAGTACTAAACTGTTAGCATCAAAAATATACTTAAAGTACCAAAAGAAAAAGGACTTATTGTGCAAAATTGTACTGCATTAATATGAGATATTGTGTACTTCACATTTAATGTTCCAGCTAAAGGAGGAACTAATGTTTAACTACCTTATATACTTATAATTTGAAATACTTTTCATAGAGTTTGTGAATTTCTGGCAGGGGGGTCATTAAAATCTTATGATTACACTGTATTTTGTTTTATTAGTTTGATACAGAAAGGTACCACAGTTATCAAATAAATGTAGCAAAAAGTATAATATTGGCCTCTGAAATGTAGTGAAAGTATGAATTAGCAGACCTGGAGAAATGTACTAAGTACAGTACTTGAGTAAAAGTACTTACAGTAGTTACATTCCACCACTGGTTGCACCTAAAAAAAATTACAATTTATATTTTACTATCTCATACTTTTCTTTAATAGCTCAATGAAAGTCAACATCAAAACTTTGCCTTTTAATTCTTAACTTTTCACCCTTGTTTAGATTTTGTAGAACCGGGCTTCCATAACCTCCATCAGTGAATCCCCCGAAGGCCAAGGATAATAAATGTGTTTAAATGAACAGCTAATATTAGTTTAATCAAGAAGATCAGACCGTTTAAGGGCAGGAACTGTGCTCTGTTTCTCTTCTTAGGGAGCTACAACAATGTCTGGCGACATTCATTCATGTATTGCCTACTGCCAGTGAATAATCCCCTAATAAATCACACACACCTCTTTCAGGCTTTGTTTGTTGGAAACTTGGAGTAGGATGTAGCACCAGCTGGGGAAGCTCAACAACACAGACAGGGGTCCCTCTGCAGCAGCCACTGTCTGGGTGTTTTAATAGAAATAAATGATTAGAAATGACAGAAGTCAGACGAAATAAATGAGACTTTAATGCATATAAATGAGTTTTTTTGTTGTTGTTTTTTTCACTAGGATGAAAAACTTTTCCTTCATTCTTTCAGGCTTTCTGCCTAATGTATGTTTAGGTGTTTTAATCATACATCCTATTAATTTATCCATCGTTGTCAAAAGCATGACATTTAGGAACAGGAATTTTGTGGTACCTTTCAAAATAAAAGTAGCGACTAAAGAACCAGCTGCAAGCCTTGAGCTACAGAGCCGAGGTGCGGCTCCTGTCAAACAGTGAAAAATACCATGTATCTGTGGAGCCTTAGTATTTTGTTCTTCCATTCCAGATGATACTTTGCTTACTATATAACTGTTGCCGGTATCATAAGCCTAGAATGTCACAGCTGCCACCAGTGCACACATTTTCAAAACATCCTCCCAGATTACTTTAAGTCACATCCTCTACCTAATATAATGACCGGAAAATGAAATATATATGTGTAATAGCTTGGTCTTTGCAGTATATTTTACAGATAGAGCTCCTTATTTGGGTTTGGTACTACTTAAATTTTCCAGTACTAGTGCAGTAAACTTTACCTAAGAAATTATACATTTGTGGTACTTTATTCTGAGCAATTTTTGGTTGGCGGTCTTGGTATTAGTCAATTTCTGTGGAATATAGGCTATTATCACTATTATAAATTAAATAAATAAATTTTGAATGTTTAGTATTTGTTTATTGTTAATTTACCTCCTATTGCCCGCTGCATACCACGGGGATACGTGGAGCTCTTATTTCCTGATTAATCTAGCCTATTTCCGGTCTCTTCCTGATTCATTTTGTACGACCTGATGCCGTTTTTGCCGCTGCACGGTACGTTGCGCAAAGAGAGAAATTCCTGGTTTTCTCTGGAGAGCCAGCTGGCTCCCCGGTCGGTCCAGCAGCCCAACCTGCAGTCACACTGCTCCGGTCGGCTCACACAGCTTCCGGCAGCGACGTGTGGTGTGATGACAACTATCAGGAGACACAAAAAAACATCTTAAAGCAACGTGTAGAGCCGATAAAGGAATTGCGTTAACGTGGGGATAGATAACTGTTTTTATCCTGTGTCAAGTTGCACAAATAACACCAGGAACAGCGGATGTTAGGCAATTCGGACTTAAACTGTCAAGCTAAAGAAAACCCGAGTTTGGACCACAGAAAATGTTGACTACCATTTATTTCTTTCCTTTTTGCTGCCAGTGGAATCGGTGCATGTATATTAGGGCAGTAACAGGTTTTGAAAAGTCTGAAAAAGGCAATTAGGAGCATTAAAAATTCTTAGACGTGATTTTTCCAAAAATATTGAATATTTTTTAGCCTGTGCTAAACTAGTTATAACAGGTTTTGTATGTGTTGGGAGCGATTACACATTTATAAACTAAAAATGAGACTGCTACTGCAGTGGATTTTTCAGGAGGCTTTTACTTTTTTTTTTTTAGAATTGTTCATTAACATAATTATTTGAATATTTTTATTAACAAGTACTTTTTAGCAAAAACTTAGTTTAAAATTTTTAATCTTCCATCGGTGTTCTGCTCCTGCCCAGTTCTTGTTAATTCTAAGAATGACTATTGTTGTGCACAGCAGGGACGTACAAACAAGATGGGTTATGTAAATGCCAGTAGATTAATGGACATAATATGTGCAGAAGTTTCCCAAAGGCTAATGTTCCCCTGTTCCTGTAGCACCCTACTAGCAAAGACGACCATGGGCGGAGCCAGAGGGTGCCCTGCAATCTGACTGGCCACCCCCGATGCCACCACAGTCAGAGTAAAATGTGATGTCTTGTCTATTAATGGATTTGTGACAAGGAAACAGGCATTGACAACCTGGAGTTAGGACCGAACAAAGGTTATTAATTTATAACTGTGAATGAAACTCTTTTAAATTATATTCTAAGAGGAAGCATAATTTAAATGGTAAATGGATTTTATATAACGCTTTCTCACAGTGTGTAGCACTGGCCAAAGCGCTTTACAGAAGATCATACACCATTCACCCACACACAGATGACGACAGGCTAGTCAAGCCACCGGGAGCAATTCGGGGTTCAGTGTCTTGCTCAGGGGCACTTAGGCATGCGGGGAGACCGGGAGTCGAACCACCAACTTGCTGGTCAGAGAGACGACTGCTCTACCTCATGAACCACAGCCACCCCTTAACTTGCTACCTAAAATTTCCCGTAGTGACTTTTTGCGTTTTGTCTGCGAGTGTTTTATTTTGACATGCCAGACCGGAACTGTCAGCGGTTCGTTGCGTCTGGCTTTGCTCGGATTTCACAGGGAGCGCGGACTCCGAGCCCGAGGGAGCCGAGGTTTTGTGGAAATTCGAGGACATGCGGCGTCTTCTACAAACTTTACTCAAACTAAACTTTCTCCGAGTCGAAGGAAAAGCCGAGCTGTGAGGAATGAACTGAAGCGGAGCGGGGCGGGAGAAGAGCCGTTCACTCCCATCGATCCTATATCGAGGTATTGATTTAGGCCTGGCTTTGAAATGATACAGCTGTTGTGGGGAACAGATGTGCATTCATTAGGAAATGCGCTGATTCTAATCACAACAAGGAGCAATTCGGATCATTCGCACCTGGTCAGACTATGATGTCAGAATTAAAATGAATTGAAAACTGATATTGACAAATACAGAATTTCTGGTTTAGACTCGGTCCAATTTTAAGTTGACACAGGCTATATCAAAAGTAATATTGTGGAGGACTGGTTTCTGCTTTCATACTCTGAACTAACAAGAGCCCATGTTCAACACACACACACACACACACACACACACACACACGGAAACGTGAGTCTGCTGTTCCTATGAGCACCAGTATGTCACCCAGTGGAAAACCAGTTCAGACATCAGTCATAGTGGTCACTCACCTTGAATGCTGCTCTTGTCTTTAAAGATTGTAAACATGTCAGAGATTATACAGACTTATAAGGTGATATCTCTGAAGCTGCAGCTCTATCCCAGTAAACACACCATAACAACACCAGTAAAGATGAGTGCACAGCAGGCCAGTAGCTCTGAAACACCTCCTGACTTTGACATGTTAATTCTCTACTTTGATTGTACCGATTCAGAGTGTGTGGTGTTGTATTCAGTTACAATAATAATGGTTTATAACATACAGGGACCTTCATATTCCACCTAATCGAAGCAGTGTTGATCCACAGAAACATTCTGATAACTGATTTAGACATTTATCAAGGAAAAATACAACAATATTCTTTGGCTCCATCTACTCAGATCTGATGTTACTGACTTTTTGTCTGAGTCATGTCATTGTAAACTGAATATCTTGTGGTTTTGGGCTGTTGGCTGGGGCCGGCACCCTGGGCCCTCACAATTCAACTCATGAAGGTTAACTCTTCAGTTCATTCACATTTATTGACAAATTAATCAACTGATTAACTGAATTGAACATTTAGTGTCAGATTTGTAACAGTAACAGAATATAGGTTATTAATAATCATCCACAATTTAGTTTAGTTACTAAGACAGGTTACCCTTTAGAAAGTCAACTAGGGCACTGTATACTGTGATAGTAGTGGAAGAAGTATTCAGATCCTTTACTTGAGTAAATGTTTCTGTAGAAATGCTGCATTACAAGTAAAAGCTGTGCATTCAACATCCTACTGAAGTAAAAGCACAGAGCTCAATCTGTGTAAAGTATTAAAGGTGAAGAAAATACAACTGTCTGCTGTGACAGATGAATCAATGTACGTGTTGATTAGATTGTTAATACTGATGGAGTAGCTGGTCAAGGTGGAGTTAGTACTTTAAATATAGTCTGGTATTTTAATCCAGTCAGAGTCAAGAACCTAAAGGGCATCTGAGTGGGGGTTGTATCCTGAATCACCTGAGATGTTCAGATGGGAAATATCTGGTGAAGCCGAATAGTCTGAAACATAATACGACTCCACATGTCAGAACAGTTGGTTTAATCTCTACTGATGCATCTTATTTAACAGACTAAGATTTTTTTTATGTAAAATCTTTATCCAACGTTAACAGCCGACATAAAAACACACAGCAAACAGCCTAACATTATTTATATGGCTTATCCACATTTTACAACACTTACAGTAGATAAACAGATAACCCTAGGCATCTGTAACCTAACAACATGATTAACTTTATCACAGTCATTTTTGAGGATAGGACGTTAGCTACCAGACTTTACGTCACATGTCACAGTTACTACCCCTTTCAGAGTCTCTCGCTAAGAATCACTTTAACTATGAAGTTAGTAATTGTCACCTGTCCAGGCACGTGCACAGATGGACCCCAGGTGGTGCTCGCTCAAGCACCTGCCCTCTCACCCTCTGACTTGATAAGTACCCTTTTTGCAAGACAGTTTTTCCCCTATTTTATTTAAATTTTTAAACAAGTTGCTTTGTGGTTCATGCATACATTTTCAACTAAAAGTGTTCTGTTAACTATACCCGAAATCAACTATTAGCTTATGAATTTTTATTAAGGGCATGTTAGGCTATAACTCACAGGCAAAAATGTGCTGCTTGCAGGCAACCTTTTTAAAAAATAATTGTTGGTGAGAGGGGTGCCTTTTGCTTGAGCACTTGCCCCCCAAAATGTCTGTGCACAGCCCTGCACCTGTGCCTTGTAACGCAGGATCAGCCCATTTTGATAAATAGAAAGCTGCCCTGTTCAGTCAATAGGGGGCGTGATTTGACTGCTTTTGGCTCAGTTTAGCTACGTGAATAGTAAAGTCAAAGTCAGGGCTAAAAGCTCAGCTAGAAAATGATTACTCTTAAAATAGGTTAGTTGTCCATCTAGCAGTAACTTTGCAAACAGAGGGGATTCAGGACCACAGCTCCCAGTGAGTCCAGTACAAACACCAATCAAGTTTGACAGCATAGGCAGTCAGAAGGAAGCTAGTCTGAGCTTATTTAACACTCCACAGAAATGAAATGAGCACTGCACCAGCTTTCATCACCACTGAGACCAGAAGGACACTCTTTTGGCTGCTTAAGCCACAACCTTCTCATTCTCTGGTGGAAAGAATGTTTTCCCTTTGAGATGTTGACATTTTCCAGCCGTCCTTTGAGCAACTTGAGCAGTTTACTGCACAACAAGTCCTTCTCATCTTATTTTCCACACAGAGTCTCAGTCATTCCTCTTTGTTTTATGCCCCCGTTGTGCGTGCGCATCTCGTTGACAACGTTGCTCGTAAATCCGCCTATACTGGATTTTTACCATCAGTGTGGTCGAGTACTGACCTGTAATTTATAGCAGACTAGACAAAAGCAGATGCCCCCGTCGGGTTATTTTATCAAGAAGTTAGTTTTTCTATAAAAATACAATGGCACATATTGATATCACCATAAAAAATTATATATTTGGTAACAGATTTGAGTAATGTTGCACACCCTGTTATGAAAGAGGCTCCATAAAAGCAACAACAAATGGTCACAAACAGTGAGAAGCGTCCTCAGCCTGCACATTCACACTGGTCTGTTCCTGCTAATACTTTTAGCACTTTTACTGGTATTATTCAGCTCCAAAGTCTGTAAATGGTTCTCAGCTCCCTCTCCACCAGATGGATGAGTTCCAGATCACAGCTGCAGCCAAGTTGGCAGCTCCATCTCAGATGTGGTTTTATGAGCCACAGTTAGTCCCCCGGTGTTGGCATGCTTGTGTGAATTTGTGCCGACTCAAACATTTTTGAGCACCACTTCCCCAGTTTGTAGAAGATCACACTGTATTGTTATGTGTTGTTTTTTGGCAGAGCCCTGCAGTTCTCCTGTGGTAAAGATGCAGGCTGCTGCCGCCGCTCTGGCTTTGACTGTGCTGCTCACCGTCGTCAGCCTGGATGGCCTGTGTGCCCACCGGTCCAAACCAAACCAGACACAGCACCACAGTGACGGTAACACTCAGAAGGATGAGACAGAACCGAAGCAGAAGAACCCGCCACACATCATATTCATCCTCATAGACGACCAGGTGTGTGTGTGTATATCAGTGTGTGTTTCCTCTGTAGGATCACATCTGTAACAGCAATTACATTTTACAGACTACAAGAAGCTAAATATGACGACAACAACGAGCCCAAGACCACAAAGTTATAATGGTGTTTATATAAGAGACACATTGTACACTACAAACTATACGATTGTATTTGACAACAGTTCCATTGTGGCATAAAACTGGAAATGTAGGCAGAGCTGAAAATTAATTTCAAATTTTGACTCATCAGCAGTAAGACAAAAACCTTCCTCACAGTCACTGTTTTCACTCAGAGAATAAAAAATTCAAAGCCTGAATTCTCAGTTAATTAGAACTACAACCATTAGTAGATTCATTGATTATTGATCAAAAGAAAATTTACTTGCAACTATTTTGATAATTGATTGTTTCAGTCATTTTAAAGTAAAAATGACAAATATTTGCAGGTTCCTGTGTGCTACGTATATTTGCAGGTTCCCTTTAAAAGGGACGTGATCACGTCCCTTTTAAATAAGAATTTAAACTGAATAGGTGCAGTATCTATTGCATGAGAACTCATTAGCAAAATTAGAATCCTGATAATGTTACAGCGGCGCAGTGACTATTTACTTAAAAAAATCAGCAGAGATGTCTGCTTCCGATCAAATGACCTGTTCCATACAAGTCACCAATTTGTTTCCTTCTCGCATAAAGTGAACCCAAATGTCTAAAGGAAGATAGATCCCAAATAGGCATAAACAAAGGCTTGAGTCATAGGATGGCGTGAGCACAATCAGAAATCGTAGAGCCTCGTGTAAACCATCTAGAGATGTTTAAGGTCGTTTGTTAATAACAGATGCACGGGCCAAAAGTTACATGTAAATAATCAGATCTGAAACATTTACCAGAACTCTTTGATGCCCCCGTGACTCTGAAACAGGGCTTCAACGACATTGGCTACCACAACCCGACCATCAAGACACCCACTCTGGACAAACTGGCGGCCGAGGGCGTGAGGCTTGAGAACTACTACGTCCAGCCAATCTGCACACCCTCACGCAGCCAGCTCATCACTGGCAGGTACCAACGGCTCCTGAATGTGCACAGTTTGTCTGTTATATGTAACACTCCAGCCTGAACTGTGACAACGCTAAGGTAGAATATTGGTGAAATAAAAAAAAAGATAAAAACAGTCTGAGGGCTTTGATTCAAACCAGGCAGCTGCTCTGAATCATCTGATTAGGCAGCCTGACCTGTGCTGTGTTGTGAGCACAGGTATCAGATCCACACAGGCCTACAGCACTCCATTATCAGACCCAGCCAGCCGAGCTGTCTGCCTTCACACATGGACACGCTGCCTGAGAGGCTGCATGAGGCCGGCTACAGGACACACATGGTCGGGAAGTGGCACCTCGGCTTCTACAGGTAAGGTGGACAGTTTGTAGATATTAGAATTGATCATTATAACCAGGAGCGTCTTATTGTATAGCTGCTATTAAAACTTCATGACTACAAATGAGGTGAAATTATTTCAAAGTCCAGGTTAGCCAAACTTTAAGGTAGGCAGCACTACTCTTCATCTGCTCATGGTGCCTGCAAGTGCCCACTTTCAACTCACTTGAATGTGAGGCGACAGGCCTGTTGTCACGGAACAGGAGCAGATGCAGTACGGTAATCTCATTTCAAGTTCTGAAAGAATACCAGCTAGCTGTCAAAAACGCCAGACCACTGAATTTCTCCAGTCTCATCACCAAATACCGCACAAGCTTGCAGGTGACCTGATACGTGCTCCATTTCATTTCCCTTTAGGAAAGCGTGCCTGCCCACCAGAAAAGGTTTTGACAGTTTCTTTGGCTCTTTAACAGGAAGTGTGGACTACTACAGGTAAAGGTTTATAAGGTCTGCAGTTCTTTGGCATCAGCTGTGGACTGATTTCACTGTTGTACCATCTGTGTTGTGCATTTCTGTAACTCACATTTTTCCATCTGTCTCCAGTTACGGTTCCTGTGACGGTCCAGGGTTGTGTGGGTACGATCTCCATGATGATGAGGATGTAGCATGGGGCCAGGAAGGAAAATATTCCACCATGCTTTTTACACAAAGAGCTCGCAAAATCCTCGAGAGCCACAGCCCCACAGAAAGGCCACTCTTCCTGCTGCTCTCCCTCCAGGTACCACGCTGAGGTCTGATCGCAGAAAGCTGACATTCTGACAAGGAGCAAATAAAAGCACATTTCATTTTCCCATGAAAGAACGAGTGAATTCAATGAACTAGTTTTATAAGAAATTAACTGTTTACCTGTAGGGTTGGCCGTTCTCAAACACCTCAGCGTATTTTAAACTGTCATCCACCAGGCTGTGCACACTCCTCTGCAGACTCCAAAATCCTACATCTACCCCTACCACGCCATGGGTAACATCGCCAGGCGAAAGTTTGCCGCCATGGTTTCCACAGTGGACGAGGCGGTCCGTAATGTCACCTACGCACTCAGAAAGTATGGATACTACAAAAACAGTGTTATCATCTACTCGACTGACAACGGCGCCCAACCATTTACTGGAGGCAGCAACTGGCCGCTACGAGGCCGTAAGGGATCGTATTTGTGATCATGTGTGGAGTTACAGAGAATTTTTTAGACTCATTCAACAGCCTCCCCCACTCTGGGTGTGATATCAACACTATAGCTGCTGGATGTTTCTCTTCATAGAGACTAGTGTACAGTATTTCTCATTTTCAACCTTTTTAAGAAAGAAAATTTCAATCTTTGAAAAGTACAAATGGAAGTTAAAAGCTTAATCTACAAGCCTTTAGCTGTAGCATAATTTGGGAACACTGAAGTGTTTCATATTGGTGCTTCATGTGGAGAATAAATGAAACTCTGTGATAACTACCCCGGATCAAAAAAAGACAGTTCATTCTTGTGTTCTCAGGGTACATACTGGGAAGGCGGAATGCGTGGCGTCGCGTTTGTGCACAGCCCTCTGCTGAGACGTAGGCGACGGGTCTCCAAAGCTCTTCTCCACATCACTGACTGGTTCCCCACATTGGTGGGCCTGGCAGGGGGAAACATCAGCCAGGTCAGTGGAGTTCACTGTGTTCTTATGACAACATACTGCATGTTGTGAAACAGTAGTCTCATGGTGACTGTTAAAATACTAGAGTTTGGTCTGTGGTAACTTGATTGGTCAGTTGTCAGAGTTAAATGTGGAGCTCCATCTACAAAATCCCTGGTTTCTTCTGTAAAACGTCTTTATTTTACTGTCATGCAGATACATGTGCTCTGGACTTGTTATGACTAGTGTGGTACTGCTAAACATTGGCCTGGTGTACACTTTCTGTTTTAGGTCTGAGATCAATTACTTTTAGTCTGTGTACAGGTCTCAAAAAGCTTTGTTGGTGTTGCTATGCTAGCAGGTTTCTATTGCCAAGTCTTATATGGCTATCTTGGCTACAGTCACCACAGTATCTGACTAATCCAGTCACTTGATCAGCAAAGGGAATTTAACATTTCTTCTGGCAACATTGCTACGGGACATGTAGTCACATTAGGATTTCACAGTATTTACAGGTACAAATAAAACAGACCTCAGAGGGACTTGAAATTACCTTGCTGAATGCGTCTCCTCCTCAGAGCCAAGGCCTGGATGGTTTCGATGTTTGGCCCACCATCAGTGAGGGGAAGGAGTCACCACGTCAGGAGATCCTTCACAACATCGACCCTTTGCACAAAGCGCCTGATCCGAAGTCAGCGTTCAAAATAAACACCACCAAGAAGCCTCAGACAGTTTCCCATCATGCTGCAAAACCTAAACCCAGGGCTCTCCTGAAATCAAAGTCCATACTTAAACCCAAGCCCAAAGCCTACTCTCAGCACCAGTCCAATTTCAGGCCCCATCTAAAGACCCACTCCAACGGTGCTCCATCAGGATCAGGAACATCCCGTCCCAGATCTCAGCCTCGGGTGCAGACACGTTTAAGGTCAAAATCCAGGAAGACCATATCGCAGAAGAAGAACTTGTCAGGGTCAAGACCAACTCAGCCAAAATCTAAGAGGTTGCTGAAACTTCATGCCAAGTCAAAGTCCAGGAGGATGTTATTCCAGTACCAGAACACATCCCAGCCCAAATCCCATCCGGCACCCAGGCTTAGGCTCCAGTCATCCCAGCCAGTGTGGGACACATCAGTCCAGGCTGCCATCAGAGTTGGAGACTGGAAGCTGTTAACAGGAGACCCAGGCCATGGGGACTGGGTCCCCCAACAGGTAGACCAGTTTTAGTTGGATTATTGTCACTCCCATGTTTCCAGCTGATCATGAAAAACAAAAATAATTCTAAATGTTGATCCTCAGGTACTTCCCACACTCCCCGGTCGCTGGTGGAACCTTGAACGCAGCTTCTCATCGTTCCCCAAATCCTCCATGGGCAAAAACATCTGGCTGTTCAACATCACAGGCGACCCGTACGAACGGCAGAACCTGGCAGACCACAGGCCCGATGTGGTCCAACAGCTGCTGGCCCGGCTTGCCTACTACAACCAAACAGCCGTGCCAGTTTACTTTCCACCAGATGACCCGCAAGCCAACCCCAGTCGGCACGGTGGAGCCTGGGTGCCCTGGGTGGATGAAGAGGAAGACGAGGAGGGAAAATATCACGGAGTGTACAAGAAGAGTAAGAACAGTAAGAAGAAGAGGAAGAAGACGAAGTGCCGGTTGTGCAAGCTGAAGTCGTTCTTTCTTAAACTGAACACCGGGATGATGTCCAATCGGATCTGAGGCATCGAGTCAGCCAGGTGAACGTTTAAAGCTGAGATGAGTATCTGGATGTTGCATGTTCAGTTGCTTAAACCAGTGTAACAAATCAGATGAGTTAATTCCACTACACTTAGTTGAAGTTAAAGTTTAAAAAACTTTCTTAAATATGTCTATTCACTGGCTTCACCTACTTGTTTCTCTAACAATCTGTTGAAGCTGTTGATTTTTTTTTTTTTTTTACCGTTTCAAAAACACAAATTTGTCTTTTACATCATGAAATTTACATTCTTAGTTCTCAAAGGTTGTGGTTGCTGTTAGTTTTCAGCACTGCCACATGGTTTATTGTGATTTCATCGTGTCAGCTGTTTCTTTTGTTATTTATTCCATTTCATTTTTACCACTCACAAACTGACAGAGGTCTCAACACAGGGGCTGACGCTCTGTGGTAGTAAAGCGTATTTTGACACTGTATATGATTTACCTATGTTAAACCTTAAGATGCTCTATGTAAAGTCATGTAAACAGGTTTTAAAGTATGTTTACACAAACAGTTTCTAACTTAGAAATCCAAAATCAGGGTTTTTAAGCAGATGTTTACTTAGTGCAGTGCATGATTATAATATACATATAATATACATTATATGTATATTATTCAGTACAGTTGGGGGTGTGTCCACATTTTTGACTGCTAGTGTTTATTATATATATTTACTGTCATATCACTTTGTTTTTCTTTGTCTACCCGAATCACAAAGACATGACTTTTTTAAAATATTTTCACATTTTTAGCTCCATGTCCCTGTGATTTTAGATGTACGTTTGTTAATTTGTTTGTTTTCACATATTTGTTATGTGTTGGTTTTCTTTACATATTACTACGACTGAAACAGGCTTTTGGATACTGTATGTTTGAATGTATACCCAGTGGAGAGAGTGCTTCGGCTCTCAACTTAAAATATTGTGTCTGTGATTTACTGCATCCTACTGTGAACAGCACAAAGTAGCCACCTTCTCCCAGCTGATGTAAATGTCACAGTGACGCTAATGCTAGTTAAAGCACATGTATTCAGAAAACAGATAGGAGGAAGTAACAGTGCTATAGCAAGCGTTGTACCACCATAGGCAACATTTTTATATTCCTCCTTTGAGCAGTACACAAAACCTCTATATATTTCAGTGTATTTGCTCAGTAACCAACAAACCACAGCGTGAGTCTGGAACAGGGTGCTCATGAAAAACAGCTTAAATGGAAGCTTGATTTGTCCACCCTGAGTAAATAAAGGTTAAGTAAAATGAATGGAGACTCTGTCCTTTTATTTTACATGTACTGCAGTACTCAAAACATTTACTTAAGTAAAAGTACCAGTGCAACACTGTAGATGAAGTAAAAAATGACAAGTCTTATGTTCAAGATCCTATTTAAGTAAAGGTGCAAAAGTATTATCAAGAAAAGTATCAAAAGTAAAAGTAACGAGGCCCCGTGACTCATAAATTACAATATATTAAGTTATCAGATGCAGTTAAATGGAGCTGGTGAAGGTGCGGCTAGTTTTAGTTACTTCAAACAGCAGCAGTTCTCCACATGTGGAACCTCTGGAATAAAGATAAATCTGGGATCTTGAGATGTTTTCTTTTTTAAACTTTTTTTTCTAATCTTTGCTTTTTTGAAATGCTGAACATTTATGCCACTTCTGACTTCAGACAGTAACTTAAATGAAACCATATGAACAGTTCAGAGGGGAAATGTCTCTCTGGTGGAACAGAGGTACCTGAAACCTGACCAGGGGCCATGACGAGCATTTCTATGCAAGGTTTAGTATTTCATTTAAAAAGATTAGTATTTTACATCTGTCAGCTAAATGCAGTGGACTAAAAAGCACAATATTATCCTCTGAAATGTAGTAAAGCAGAAGTATAAAAGGGAAATAATTTTATACCTTCTACCTCAATATTATACAGCACCACTGCTGGCAACAAAATGCTGCTGCTCTAAATAAGTTCATGAGACCACATCCTTTTAACACAATTGAAAATGTCTGGGCAAGGCTTGTGTATAATCACATATGCTCGGTACTTCCAGTGAGATACTTCAGTACTCATATGTTGGGACCTAAATAAAAGATTGTTATTAAAAGCTAAATATTTCATATGTTTATTGTGACCCTATTCAGGAATAAGTGGTATAGATAAACGATGGACTGATGAACATGATTTAACCTCTAGGTGGAGCCAGATATCAACAATCCCTGCAGTTTGGCCTTTCACTGAACTTCTCTACTAAACTTTGAAACAGTTTTCTCCCCACTGGCCATCGCCTTCCTTCTTTACACTGTTAGTGTTTCTTCGGGTTGCGCTAGTTAAACAATAGAAACTTTTTACTGCAGCTACTGAACACTTTAGTGATTTGCAAATCGGTTGCAAGGACACATCTAAAGTGCTGTCCAATCCAGAGCAATCAACTACTGCATGAAAACAGGAAGTTGCTGCAGCATCACATGCTAGCACAACTTCCAAAAAGCTACTGTTTCAGAGGCCCACAAGATACTGAATGTCTCTAGTAAATGTTGGCATTAGTTTACTTACACTACTGTTAAAAAGATTTGGGGTCACCTCTAATTTTTCAGTGGTTGACAGTGTCGTTCATCAGCTGAACACACCGGCCACAGATGTGCTGCGGATGTAGATTGATTTTCACTCTTCACCTCAAATGTCTGGACACTGTGCTGCCATTCCATCATTTGTTCTTTTCTTCTATACAGCCTGGAAGTTTTATGTTTGTTGACGGGAGGCATCATTATCCCACTATAGGATGAAACCCTGAAAAGCTCTGACTTCCATTGTTCATGGCCTTTTTCCAAATGATGCTTCAGAGGGTGAGGTAACAGTCTTTTCCAGCGCTGCCTCTGTACAGACAGAATCTGTGGTAAGTCATCAACAACAGTTGGGACACCTGCAGGAATTGTTTGCATCACTTTTTAAGGTTTATTTCCCTACCTGCTACAGAAAAGATGTACATCAACCTGTTACTTGATGTATGAAAAATGCCTGTTTTATATAACATTTTTAAGTTTTGGTGACGTTTTTGTTTGTTCTTTGCTTTGTACCATTTAAGGTTCCTCACTGGACTTGAGCTGCTTAAATGTCAATATAAACTGGAAAAACAGAGGTGACCCCAAACTTTTGAACAGTAGCATTTGTCTGTATACATAGAGGAATACACACATACAGTTTAGAACAAGTGGGAAATATATAATTATACTAACCTATATCAAGTTATTCACTTGTTTCATAACAGATTTGTTATTTTAGTGAGATGCAATTTAAAATCTTCAAGACTGACATCATCATTTACTGAGACTTGGGTCAGATGTCGACTGCTCCGTATATTAACCAGTTAAATTTAGCTTTGCCAGTTGGTTCAGTTCAGTTACACCTGACAGATACTGGGTGTTAATATTCTATAACAAGGCATCTCTATACATAGAAGAACTAGTTTTCTAAGTGTCACCCATTTTAATTTAGTGATGTGTGAATCTCCGCTTAGAAAAAACTGAGGTGAGAGCGAGGCTAAGTTTGAACTGTGGGGGGGGGGGGGCTAAAATTTTCCCCAAATGAAACATTGATTAGTGCTGTGTCAGACTATATTTGGAGACTGTGATGATGCGTGTAGAGAATGAAGACCTACAGAGTCCCTTTGTAGCACAAAAATGCTAAGAAACAAAGAAGCCGCACTAACACACACGCACCTCACGGTTCGAGGCTCACATACAAAGACTGAACTTATTGCTCTCATGCAGTCATACTTTCTCATCTCTCACTCCTTGAATTAACAAGTTTACATATAAATACCTTTCTTCTCACTCTCTCACACACATGCTCTCTCTCAGAGACCTAATGCAATCGTGGAACCAATAACATCCCCACCTCAGGGAGCTGGAGGTATATGAGATCTAGAGGACTGGAGCACGTGGGCAGGTGCTTTTCAGTTTATGCTGACACAGTGAAAAAGTCATAACTGAGTTGTGTTCTGCGGTCGCAGAGACCAGCCTTGGTTGCTTCCATTTTACTTGATAAAAAAAAAAGCACTTACACAAAAGAGAAAAGGCTAAATGTTCCCGCTGTGCAGTGACTTCTCAACACAACCCGATTCTAATTTGGAACAAGAAAAAAATTTTTTTTAAACAATCGTTTATCCTCTTCTGCACTTTTTCTTTCAAGTCTCATTAATCACGAAGCCCTCCAATTTAGCTTTACCTTCTGGGAAACAGCTGCAGAATATAGGGACCAAAATATTAAAAACTTCTTTCATTTACATAGTGGATTACTGCAAACATGATTTATTAACGATTTATGGACATTTTCAACTGCAGAGTTTATGGCTTATTGGACAGTGAGAAACTGAGAAGTATTTATTAGCAACATTGATGAAAGCATGACCAGTAAACAGAGGATAAACAACAAAAGGAAATACTGCTTCAAAATAGCTTCATTCTGATGGATAAAGCTTTATTAAGTGATTTATTAAGTATTAATTAGGCAATTAGTTACTTGTGAACCTTTTATAATAAGTACCTTATTAGAAAGTGGCTTTTTCAGAATGGGGAAGGTAGTAAAAAGATGTAAATCGAGACACTAGTCATTATAGATGACAGTGACAGAAGAGGCCAAACTGAACCTCACCTTTTCTTCTTTGTGACTTCTTGTAGGTGTAAATCACATCTGGAGTCTCTTCTTCACACTCAAAGATCCTACAGTGCAAATATACTGAGATTAATCAGGTGCAGTTATTGACTGTGGTGTTGCTTTGACTAATTAATAAAAGGAACGACTGCTTGCAAGAAAGAATAAAAACAACCCATTTGACTCACACATGCACAGTCCAGAAGCAGCAGGCTGTATCTCGATGTGCTACAACAGTAATGGAATGACAGGTGGATAGCGATGGAGGAACAAAGGCCGAGACACTCCAGCCTGAGTGGGCTCAGAAACCAGACTTGTATGTGGTCAAAGTTACAGACAACCATGATCATCCCTATTTGACCTTTGACGCCTGTCTTTAACAGGCCTGCCAATCCACCGTGTCTCCACTCTGTGTCTGCTGCTCATTAGGATCTCGCTGATAACTCAAAGCTGTGGACTGTAGACAACATGAAGGTGGCTGGGAGAGAAGGTCGGTGTACACACAGGCAGAGTGCGTAGATAATGAGGCCGAACATAAGAGCATCTATGTGGCCCGCTGTCTTCAGCTTCGACTGTGCTCTACATCCGAATAACGTTGCTCCAGACACCGTCACTCAACACTCATTTAGTACAGGAGATGGAAAACGTGAAGACATCAATGAAAACTACAAATCTCAAAAGCAAGTTTTGATTATTGCCTGTGCTTTTTCAGTATTATTCTTAGAAAATTTTTAGGATCAATATTTTGTGCCAACACTAACAGGCCTCAAATTTTCCACTTACTGTTGTAAATTGTAGGGATTATTCCAAGTTTATCAAACCGAGTTCAGTTCATTCAAGAAATTTTACACTGGGAAAAAGTAATGAGCAGCATGAAGTCCTGTGCAGTTCAGGTGACTTTGTGGCACCCTGCTCACCAGTATCTTTAATCTGAAATAACTTAATGACAACACTTCACACACCCAACCATTTTTCCTTCCTTTCCCCTCTCCAGTTTTTCCATTCCTTTCCTTTGCACCTGCATCTTGCTGCTTCTCTGCACCAAACCTGGGACAAGATTTATCACTTTCAGGCTCCAACACCAGGCTTGCACTACCTTACTGCCTGATATCAGCTCCTCTCACATCTCTAAAAACGTCTGCTTTAACACGTTCCCTCTTTCTGCTCTTTTGAAACAAGCAATTATAGGCAAAGAGAAATATGATCAAGTCAAACACACAGTAAAGGAAATCTCTCTTCAGCAGTTACTCTGTGCTGCTCATTTATTTTCCAGCTCTTATCGACTTTTCTCTTTTCCTCCTCTAAGAAGTAGAATTTACATTTAAATGTCATCGCCTTATCCTACCCAATTTGTGTTTACTCCAATGAGCCGGAGCCACAGGTAAACAGCTGCAGGGCCCTGACTGGCCTTTTTCAAGTCAGAGCAAATTTGTTTTCTAAACTTCTATTTAATGAAGTTTATACTGCAGTGTGACGTAAACGGGGACCATTCTTCTATTGTCCTTTTCGTCAGTTCCCTTGGTATGACCTGAACCAATCGTGCAGCACACAAAATGTTTAAAATACACCCCGTTGTTTCACTGTTTAATCTAGTGCAGGTTGTGATCTTTTTTTTTTTAAGCCAAACGTACCTTTTTAGCTCTGAGCTTTTGTTTCCTGATTGTACTGACTGTGTATCCAATAGTTAAACTACTTTGAATTGCAGCAGTAGGACATGGTGTCACCCTTTCATTTTTCTTGTGTGGCATTCATGTGGATGGCAAAGTAAGAATTTCATTGTACAGGGAAACATGTTTTACAACTGTGCATATGACGAATAAACACTTTGACCTTCAACCTAGAAGGTGCGGCATTTGTTACAGGGGTCAACAAGACAGATTTAAAAGCCTGTGAGGTCCCTGACAGTTTTGCTCCTCAGTACGACATCTGTTTTTGTTGGTATAATTGATGGCGCAAATTAAACTCACTGAATGAAAATTACAAATGTCCAAGATGCAGATAGTTACACAAATGAAACATCCACAAACGTGACACTTTTCTCCAGTGTTTTCCTTTAACAGGACACGCTTACACCACAGACACTGTATAATGTAGTCAGTCATGTCCACATAAGAAACAACTACACACAGCAGCATGTGGGTACTCATCAATTTTTTGTCAAGACATTAGAACAACTCCTAAGTCTTGATTTTGATCGTGCGTATTGGTTTTGTAAAGTTGAAGCTACTGGATTTATTATTGAAATGTCCAAACACAACCGTTTAACCCAAAACTTACCAGCCACTTCTGTTTTGTTCCAAATGATGGTGCTGTTAGCTGCCAACTTGGCCGGCCTATGTTCTTATTTGAAAACAGACTAACCATGGTCAGCTACAAGCCCTAAAGACTAAAATACACACTTGCATACAGGGTCAAAGGGTGTAGCAGTATTTGGCTGCAGGTTGGTGTCATTTACACACCAGACACCAAATTCAAAAACACTCAAGCTTGTTCAGTCCATAATACATTAAAGACGAGAAGAAAAAAAAAAGCATGCTGGTCAAAACACAATGCCCTGATTTTTTTTTTTTATTTCATTGTGTGACAATTCAAGAGGATCGTTAGTCTTTTCTGTGTGTGGTGAAAGGGTCTACAAAAAGAAAAACTCAATCACCTGGGCCACTGGAATGGGCACTGGGATTATGGTACAGACAAGGAGAAACTACAAGTAGCCTTGTTCAATATCAAACTCTTCACAGAAGAGAGCTTTAAAAAAAAAAAAATTTCCCAAATGAAGGCACCCGATAACTTGTGGTTCATGGCATTCCAGCCTTCTGGAAAGTTTTTACAAATAGATAAAATTGTCTCTTTTTAACAAATGCTTTCTTTCTTATGTAGAAGCGGGAATGATAATGTCAGTTACTGCATTTTTTTTTTTTCAACTTTTTTTTCTTTAATCAACAAGGAACAAAAATGAAGTCTCAAGAGGGGG